GAGAAAATATTTAGCGGCGAATCAGCCAGCCGGCGAACGGCGAATGGGCGGGGGGGGGGGGGTGGGGGTGGATTAGAGAACATATATTTGTTTTGGGGGTCCAGTTTTTAGGGAACATTTTTGCGCCGACTCAGCCGGCCGGTGAATATTAAAGCGGGGGGGAGGCTGGAGAGGAGGACCACTAATTTCTTCTCCTTTTTTTTCTTCGAGGGGGTGAGGGGAGGTGAAGCGTCGTTTTAGCATGACTTTCTGTTTAACTCTCACTTTCACCTATCCCACATAACCATAATTGTTTTTGTTGCTACTTTATACGTAGTTGATAATGCATGATTAAATTAAATAGAGAGAGAGAGAGAGAGAGAGAGAGAGAACCACCATCATTATGCAATGGTTCAGGGTTTGTGTAATGTACATTTGAAACCATTTTTTAGCGTCTCAACCCTAAAAAAAATAGCGAAACTATTTTTGAGGAAAGGCATTATACTAAACTGAATAAAGAATAATAACTTTATATTGGCTCATACTAATAACTGATACGGGCTAAGAAATGTGGTATCGGCACAGTAAGATCGGGTATTTGTGTAGAGGTATTCCAAAATGGCATTCTAATAATCAACATTTTGTTCTTTTACAAGCGCGTAGCCAGAATTTCATTTTAGGGGGGCGGTAGTGAGCACGCGAAGCGTGCGAATCACTTACAGAGCGCGTGTAGCGCGCTCCCTAGGGGGTGGATGCAGATCATGCAGGGAGGGGGAGTTTCCCCACTCCCCCGCAAAGCGCGGAAGCTTTGAAGTTTCATTAAATTAGTAGAGAAAGAAGACGATTCGTTGGACCGTTCTCGACTCTTAATCCTTATCTTAATTCAGTTTCTTTTGACGTTTCATTAGAGAAAGAAGACGATTTGTTTTACCGTCCTCCACTCTTAAACCTGGTTTGAATCAAGTTCCCCTTCCACCACGCGTAGCGCGGAAGCTCTGACGTTTCATTAGATTATTTAACAAAGAAGACGATTCGTTGTACCGTTCTCGACTGTTAATCCTTATCTGAATTCAGTTCCCCCCCCCCCTCCCGCGCGAAGCGCAGAAGCTTTGACGTTTCATTAAATTATTAGAGAAAGAAGACGATTCGTTGTACCGTTCTCGACTCTTAATCCTTTTTCTTCCTACGTCCTCTTCCTTTCTTCTTCTTTTTTTTGTTTTTGTTTTTGGCCGGCCCCCGCCCCCTGGCTTCGCGCCTGTTCTGTTATCATAATGTATATACGCATAACACAACTGATCTTTATAATTTCTTAACGTGACAGTTTCTTCTCCCCTGCAAATGAAAAAGAAAACAAGGTTATTTAATAAAAGTATCATTCGACAAAATGATCACTGTGATTCAAATTGTGCGAGGATTTTTTTGAATAAGCAATGCCTTTTACCAGAAACTTCTTTGTAAAAACGACTTTTACAAATCTCAGCCATGCAATTCTGCCACTGTGTTGTAGGATCACTTTCAAATTAGGAGAAGTGTATTCTTTAATGAGTACTTTAAAATGAATGGAACGTCTCAACTCAGTAAGCATGGCTGAGATTTGTAAAAGTTGTTCGCATCAATTTGAATCACAATCAGTTTTTGTCGCTTAATCCCTTTTAATGACCTTGTTTTCTTTCTCGTTTGCAAGGGGAGAAGAAGATATGTCACGTTAAAGACATCATAAAGATCAGTGTTGTATGCATATATATTATATACACAGGCCCCGCGGAACGTTTATCAAAGTGGGGGGGGGGGGCTAAAGTATTTACGATCAGGTAGAGGGTAGCGAGCGTAAATTGGTGTGGGGGTTCAGGGGGCGGAGCCCCAGGAAGCTCATGGGTTTTAGGCATTTAATTACGGTCAGAAAAGCACAAACATTTTGATGCCGCACTTGTGTCACTGGCAGGTCAGGGGGGGGGGGGTGGGGGGTGGGGTGGCGTTTTACTTTTTTTAAAAAATTTTAAAGGTAAAATTTACGTTACTATCCTATTTTTTTATAACCTGTTTGGGAGGCTAAGGGGGGGGGGGGCGGGCCGGTAGAATCGGCCCGTGGATCCGCGCCTGTACATGACTAATATAACGAACCTGAGTGGGATCGTGATTTTTTTTTCGTGTCCATAAAATGGCGTGACCCTGGGCCGCAATAGATAATGACAAACCTCCCATTGTAGCTCTCAATCCGCCCATCGCCACGATATACATATATGTTTTATTATGAAATAATGAAGATAATTAAACACTGATCCGGACTCTTCGAATATATAATTAGCATCCATGTGGAGTGATGCATCGATCCCACGTCAACGCAGTTAAGATTTCCGTTCTGTGATGGCAATTAGTTACTATTGGTCCAGCGGAAACAACGCGGGATGCGTTTCTTGCTTTTTGTTGCCATGGAAACGTGATGCGATAGGCAAATCTCGGCGAATGTATGGAAACATGGTATATTGGAATCCCATTCTCTTGATGCTGTGTAAGGAGATCGCATGGTCGATTGACACGATATACATCTATTTAAGGACACTTTGCGCAACACTCGCTATCAGCTTTAACAAAGCCCGTCTCACTTTGTCATGCCTACTCTTCTATGGTATATTAGTGTCTCTGATTCAATATTTACGGGATTACCTGTGTTTTTTTTTAACCCATGCAGCAGTCTACATGAACCCCCCCCCCCCCCCCCGTCCTCGTCATCCCGAAAGATGACCGGGCCGACGCCGCTTATTAATATATCCATCACTCTATATCTGTAATCATGATCTTTATTTGTGTTCTCGATGTTCTTTGTATCTAAAGCCTCTACTTGATCTAAGATTTAATCAAAAAGAATGATTGGAAATCAATTTACGTTGATGAATAGAATGACGGCATCATCTTTTCATGAGCGACCCAGATTTCTTTGGCAAACGAACGTCATGATACGACGGAACGATGAATGGATATGGTCGATTGACACGATATACATCTATTTAAGGACACTTTGCGCAACACTCGCTATCAGCTTTAACAAAGCCCGTCTCACTTTGTCATGCCTACTCTTTTATGGTATATCAGGGTCTCTGATTCAATATTTACGGGATTACCTGTGTGTTTTTTTAACCCATGCAGCAGTCTACATGAACCCCCCCCCCCGTCCTCGTCATCCCGAAAGATGACCGGGCCGACGCCGCTTATTGATATATCCATCACTCTATATCTGTAATCATGATCTTTATTCGTGTTCTCGATGCTCTTTGTATCTAAAGCCTCTACTTGATCTAAGATTTAATCAAAAAGAATGATTGGAAATCAATTTACGTTGATGAATAGAATGACGGCATCATCTTTTCATGAGCGACCCAGATTTCTTTGGCAAACGAACGTCATGATACGACGGAACGATGAATGGATATCATGTATCATACTGCCAGGGATTCAGTTTCATCATTACGTCACCGATAATATAATCCGCGCTAGATCGATATTCGAATTAGATCTCGTCCATGCATTGTAAAGCATATTAATTTACTAAGAGCTCTCTTTGTTATTCTTGTATAAAGCGACGATACAAGATTACTTCGAACCTTGGTCACAATAAATATAGTGCATAAAAAGTATATTCAGACAATAAAGTGGTAGTTAAATGAACTTCTGCATGTAGGAAAAGAAGTGCAACGTAGGTCAAGTTTTCGGGGCCACTGGTCTTAGTGGGTGGACGAGATGTAAAGAAGCAAAATGATCGATCAGTATAGGGAGGATTTAGGAAATCTATGATCTGCTCACGCTTGATTTCCCCTTTTCTTTTTTTTGCCAGCTTTCTTACTTCATGTCCCTCTTTAATAAGCTCAATAATGAAGACTATTCCTTACAAACATTGTTTCCAAATTTCCCTCCAAGTACCCTTATGACAGCATTCAAATTCGCCATGCAAGGCTGTAAATCGGATATTGCTACGTTTGGCAAGTGGTGAACAAGCCAATTGATCTCCATCGTGTATAATAGTAAAAAACGAATAATACAAAAGGATTCCCAGAACTCCGCTTTATAAGGTTGATTTTAAGGAAAATTTATCTCACTGAGATATAGATTTATTTCTGATTTCATCTGAGATATATAGAAATTAACCTCAGGTTACCTTCCCTGAAATCAGCGTACCAGCCATGTGCGAATACCTGCAGGGGCGTTAGGAGAGTCGTTATAAAAAAAAATTGCGAGATAATGAAAAACTGAGTGTCAAATTTGAAAGAACATGCAATTTAAATGACAAAATCATCTTTGTTTGGTCAAAATCGGTTCAGAGAAGGCTGAAATATCCATAAATATAACCATTTCTAATATTTGTGTATACCAGCACAAGTGGCCTATTAGATAATATGAACCAGCCGTTGAAAAAAACGAAATAGCGCCTCATACGTCTTATTCCAGCCAATGCCGATGTTGGCTTTTTGTTGGATTTTTCGTGTTGGTTATAATAGTTAATACGCACAACCAGCCGGCCCATATATTGTTATTATTAATTAATTAATTAATTAACGGTTACTGTATTTTTTTTAAAAGTAGAGCTGAATTGGTATGATCGTATTGGCTAAATTTCACACATTTTGGGGTCTAAAATTACCTTCATAGCAATTTTAGGTCCTAAAAGGGCACTAGAAATGTCAAAAATAGGAATAAGAGCAATAACCATGCACTCTGAAGGCATTTGCGGTCTGAAACAAGAATTCAACTATCCCCTTAATGGAAGGGATGGACAAGGAGCAGTTGCTTACCCCCTATAGTTTCAATAAATCGTTTTCCCGATATATCATAAGAGTTCGATTAAAGCATTAAAGCATTCCTCATACGGAACAACAACTTCAATACATAGTGTACTAATACCTTATTTAGAGCATGCGTCTATCATAAGTTCGCATCAGAAGTTTGATATTGGATAATCGCGAAATACTTACATAAGCAACTAATTTTTTACTTTCGTGTTTTGTCTTCCTTTATGTTTTTGTCTCCAGGGATACCAGGACTGGGTTAACGTAGACTTTAACCAGTTGAATACCCGTGTGAGTAATTTGGAGGTCGCGCAGAGTATCATCGGAAGCACAGCGTATGAAAACCGGAGTGAAACCGGGCACGACCTCGATGATATGCTGCTTGACTGTAACTTTGAGAACTACCCATGCGCCCCAGAGTAAGAATTACTAAATGTCCTATAATAACAAATGTTAATGTTGATGATGATGAACATAATAACGTTGATGATGATGATGTTTATACAGTAACTTTAAATATTAAGTCTAACTTATTATTAATGTATAAGATAAGAATATTTGTGTACATTGGTTGGGGGCATATCAAGATATTGATAAAAAGGGACCGAGAATCCTCGAGAAGAGGGTTTAGTTGATACGTCTCAGTAATTTGCATGAACTTGCTTCTAAAGTGATTACTGAATTTTGTTCTTTTATGACTGATCTGAATTTTTTCTCGCTGCTAAAATCGAGATGTTGTTTGAAAGCACTTATACACATCAGTCATTAACTAATTTGTATTACTTAATTCTATCCGAAAATACACTATCATAAATCATTTCACGTGTAAATTGGCAGAGAAAAAATATATTTACTACTTACTAGATCCAAATTCATATAAGATTACTGTTAATAACTTCTGTTTATGAATGGTTGACGATTTGAGGATGGAAATAAAATGAACCTAAATTTGTCTTCGTTTTTTTCTTTTCATTTGCAGCAATTTTACGCACTTCTATAACTACATGTACGGCAACTGCTACACATTCAACTCGGGGCAAACGGGAAAACCTCTCGAGGTCTCTACAGTGGGACCCTTGTATGGTAATATATATTGAAATAATAATAACTGCTACACATTCAACTCAGGGCAATTTGGAAACCCTATCCGGGTCTCCACAGAAGGACCATTGTATAGTAAAATATCTTGAAATAAGACAAGATGTAGTATTCGACGAAAACTAATGAGATCTTTTCATTGCTCCCTATACCAAGTATTTATTTTTGACGGAACAGAGGGCAAAACTTGACTCTACTTAAGTACAATGGAGGGAAGCGTGTGGGCGCATGTGTGTGTGCGTGTGTGAGTGCGTGTGTGTGTGCTTGGCTTCAGCAACACACCTACTTTTTAAAAAATTGGACCGATACAGAGATGGAATGCGAGAACAAATACTCATTCTTTTTATTTTCTTGAAATGGAATCCGCAATTTTGGATTATGTATTTTTTGGAACATGATTTCGGAATTCCCGCCGCTCTTCCCAGACTGGATTGGGTAGGGTAGACAAGTTCCCGACATTCTTATTCATGTTTATTTCTTTCACTTTCCCCAATTTCCCTGCCCCTTTATATCAAGAAGGGGTGAGGTGGTTACTCTTCCTCCTCTGATCCGCCTAATCCGCCTAGTATAAGGATTTCAATAAGATATATTAATGATTTTCGTTTTTGTATTGCAGATTACCAACTGGACCAACTGACCACTAGTAATTTATTTATTTAAAAAATTCGGATAGGCCTATTTTTTTTTTTTTTTTTAACTGTTTTTGTCTTTCTTCAACATTAAAGGCCTTTCGCTCGAGCTGTACATCCAGCAGTCTGAATATATATCAGACCTGCAGCCCTCGGCGGGGCTACGACTACTTGTACATGACCAGAATGAGATGCCCTTCCCCGAAGACCGGGGCATTAATCTCGCTCCAGGGGCCCATACCTCCGTTGGATTGTCATTGGTAAGAATCTCTATTGAGGGTATAATACTTGACAGAATGTTAGGATCTTCATGCAAAATCAATCTAAACTGTGCCTGCCAACAAAATTCATACATTTTTCCCATTCATAAGCTGTTTTTGAACAACATTCATTGATCTTCAGTTTCTGTGGATTTTCTTTTTCTTAGGTGACTTGAGGCATTTAATATTGACTCACCCAACCTTGCAAAATGTACCACAAATATCACTGCAAACAATAGTGATCGGTGGTTTTTGCTCCCTCCTCAAAACAATTATATTAGGTCAACGCCCTTGACGTAAGTTCCTTTGTATACGTTACTATTTCTTGCTTCATAGGTTTATCTGGAAAGAAAAGAATCACCGTACACGAACTGTTCTTTGGAATTCAAGCCTGGAAACGTATTTAAAGAGCAGTTTGATCACCTTGAATATTCCCGATCAGTAAGTATGCATTAAAAAACTTAAATCACACACTATACTAGCCTCCTTTGATCCGACTTTCGAAGAAACGGCAATTATATTAGATATATAGAAATCTAAACAAACATCATATCCCTGTTTTAGATTCTGTATAAAGATAAGAACTAACAACTGGAATTTAGTCCATTTAGTGATTTAATATTTCTAGTCAACATAAAAGCCGAATCGGATTTCAAATCGTAGAAAGTCGCACTCCTGGGGAGTGTTTCACAAAGACTAAGATCGACTTTAAGTTGAACTTAACTATGGCAGACATTATAATATGCCACTAGTTCCTGGCATAAGTTTCTAAAGGGTCGTACACATCGTGGTCACAAATCTACAGAATTTACCTTCTTTGATAGTTCATTATTGAAGGAAAGAATATTATCTAAAGATGATAATTGATAGACCAATTGTGAGAGCAACCAGTGGCATCTACAGCCTGCCATAGTTGAGTCGATCTTAGTCGGGGTGACGTCACTGCAATTCTGAGCAGATTTAGCTCAGATAAATCCTTTGCAAATTCGATTTATGTTTAATATCAAATGACTACTCAGGTACTCAGTTATTGATATTCTATATGTTTGAATGTTCATTTCAAATGCTTTTGACAATTCTTTAAAAATAGGATCGTTATCAGAATGTATAGTGTGCGATATGGTTTAGAATAGACACTGACTGTTGAAGAAAAAAAAGATTTTGGACGGAATACACCTACTGAAAATCGAAAATCGATAAACAAAGAGAAAACATCTTAATTATATCACCTTCGCCATTTACTTATTTTACATCTCCCAATGTCATATAAGAAAAGTGTATTTTCATAATGAAACTATATAGTGGAGATATCGTACTCAACCTTGCAAATTTCATAAAAGAAATCATACCGTTGGGAGGAAAAATTTGAAATGAGATAGATCGCCAAAAGGAAGATATTATTTTATGTTTGTATTTTTAAATATCTCTTATTCCAAATGTAAATGAGTTGTTATTCCTTATTCTCTTCTTTTTGTCTTGTTAAAACAAAACATGTGACTGATATTAAATAAATTATATCAATTCAATTCATAGCCAATAAGGTAAAAGTAAATAAATGTTTCTTGCTCTGGGGTGGTACGGAAAATTTCCTAGTGATATTCGTCCTGGGATAATTTTCCGTGGAAAGTAAATATCCGGGCCTCAGTTGCCCGGGATAAGTTGTCATCGGGATGGATGCCGACGAGTAAATGGTGTCCAAGAATCATTATACTCATTCCAAACACTTCCGGGGCGTTGCAAGAAAGATGCGATTGTTTGCAAGTTGCAAATTTGCAACTGATATTTGCAATCGATTGCAGCTCAACTTTCTTGCAACGCCCCACTAGTCTCCTAAATTTCCTAGGAATTAAATTAATTTATTATAAATTTGACACTATTCGCAAGACTTACGCTTGATTTGGGGGATTTGCAATCGATTGCAATTTTCTTGCAACGCCCCATTACACTTTCTTGAACACCATTAGAGTTTGATATTTGTAGGAAAAAAACTTTCAAAAATGCCAGTTTTATATATGCATACTTCCTGCTGTTTAAGATTTGACCCATTAAAAGGGACCATAACTGTATTTCTATAATCAAAACCTGATATTTCCATCATAATTCGATCATAAATTTCATTTCATAACAGGCGTGCGAGAAACACTGCTTTTTCACCGAAGTAATGAAAGTATGTGGCTGTGCTGATGTCAAATATAGATACAATAATTCTGCTACCGCGTGTAACAGCTCCGATGGTAAGATCTGGAAAATAACATTTGATGAGCATACACATAAAATTGTATAGTAATGATAATAATATTGACGTAGGGCCGGCATGGGCCACTTGCCAACGTCCGTGTTACGGACATATGTTTTGTAAATTACCGTTTTTGGAATGGAGCGTCAATGATAATTTAAACTAGAATGAAGCACAATCATTGTTTGTCTAATATGTTATACTTAAGAACCCTTTCATTTGTGTTTCCTTCTTTTTATAAGTAATTATTCATAAATTATACTTCACCATTTTTGTATGTTATTGTCATTATTTTTTGTTGGGGCGGGGTAGAAATGTTCGTAATTTGTGTGGCTTTAACAGTAATTTGTTGACTATTTTACCTACAAATTAATATCTCATTAAAGTCCAAAAAAAATTGGGGGAAGGGGGTAATTTGTTGAGGGGAGGGGGCAAAGTGACCCTTGACCCTTCAAAAAGTTAGAACAGCTGCAAACGTAATCAAAATCAAAAGGAATTAAACGATACCATTGTACTATTGCTTATACCGAATCGTTACAATATGCCAGATGTTCAGTCTGTGTCGGTTTAGGTAAAATAGGTTCAATTGTTATGTATCTCAGACAGTTTTCTTTGATAATTCGTTAAATGTATTTTGCTTAATTTGTTTTCATTAACAGAGGTATGTGTCGATGACGTAGAAGCAAATTACACCCGTGGTGATCTTAAGTGCGGTTGTACTATGCCTTGCAAGTGAGTAGTATTTGCAACTACTTCATTACAGTGTAATAGACCAGTTCGTAGCCTTGGTACAAAATGACCCCAAATATCCACAAATCTTTACACGCGGCGACGTACCACTTTTGTGCATTTTAGAATAATCATTTTTAGAATAAGTGACAGTGATGCTTCATGGATGCCTTCTGTTTGCCCTCTTGAGTATTAAGAAAATGTGCCGTCGGTGAATAAGAAATGGATAATGATAATATAACTTTCAAGAGCACTAATCCAGTTTTCTTCTTGATGTTCTTTCAATATTTATTACAATTTTGGTTCAAATGACCTTTATCTGCCCATGCGCCGCTTGAATATCTACGAGCTACCTGATTAATATATAAAACACAAATGTGTTATTGAAACGACATGATCACATCACACCGTTTTGCAAGAAAAATAATATCGTAACTTAATGTTTCGCAACCATATTGAAATGAGTACCTCCATATCATTAGTTACCATTAGGGAGACCATATGTTAATTCGTTGGTTATTATAAATAGTAGCGTAGTATTCGTAACTTTGATTAAAGAAGTTGCATGACCCTTCATCAATAAAGAGGGGGAAATGTTCGATGATTATTAATGGGAAACTGAAAACAGGAACAAATAAAACAAAACGTTTGAAGGAAAGGGAGGGAAGCATATGGAGGGGAAAGAGAGAGAGAGAGAGAGAGAGAGCGAGAGAGAGAAAGATAGAGAGAGATATATGTTTTTATTGTGAACAAGATACTGCAAATAAATGTCGTAGAATTAAGGTTATATCAATCATGATTTTTATTATGAAATTATCCCTTCAGACAACATATTTTTGAGATCACAGTCTCAGAAGCATCTTGGCCAAACGACGGGTACGCGGTAAGTTGGTTTATGATTAAAATCTTACATAATTATTTCCATTTTTATTGAGTGAGAAAATTTATCATATTGTTAATGGTGTCTAGACTTTAGGTTAATTTTAGCGCCACCAAGCTGAGAGTATGTTTACTTGCCTGTTTTCTTTATACGTTACGTTACCCGAAGAAATGTTAAAAAAACAAAGAGAGCAAAAGATTTAGAGACATACCATGAAGGGGGCAGATACGCAGAGAAATACAGGCAAATAAAGGTAATTAACATAAAGAGACAGAAAACATCGACAACTGTATAAGCCTATCATATTTTCAATGAGAATTTGAATATCCAACTTCACTATTCACCGAAGATTTACTCACGCAAAGTTTTAAAATGTAATATCAAGCCGATTTATGGCCCTTCCACATTATACGTTTAATAACATTTTTGAAAATCTACCGCTTTCTTTGAGTATACTTTTTTGTGGTAGTTCAGTACTTTATTGACTAAATGGGAAATATTTTTTTTATCATATAGGCCATATCACTTTTCTCAATCGTTTTATCATTTTTATGCAAATAACAGTAGAATAATATTTTTATTTAAAATCCTCAGTCTACCGTTCAACAAAACATCGAATCGATATCAGATGACTTAATGCAGAAACTCAGTGATGATGGTCCCGCGAATTTTATCAAGTTAGTATACGTGCAGGAGTTTTTTTGGTTAAATTAACTAGTCAGTCAACAAGTTATCTAATTAAAGGGTTAGTTTACGATATACATTAGCTTTATGAACAGCATTTAGCTTATGAATTTTCTCTTTTGTCACACCAAACTTTAATAGTTTACCGTAAAGCTTCTCCGGCTGTTTTCCTTCTAACATTTCAAGTAAGAACAAGATTAACAAACAATTGTTGAAAATTGTCCTTTATCTGTGAGAGACGCCTATTTATTACACACAAAAATCATTCGGAAGTTATATTACATTTTGCACATTGTAAAATTAACGTTTAGTATTTAGAATTCTCACTACCCCATTTATTGCAATTATGGTAGCATTTCCCTTATATAAAAGAACAGTGTTTTATTAGTTTGGATAATGATGAACTTTTACAAAGTATGCAAGAATTCTCCATACCGTATACAGCTGGAAACGAGCCAACGTAAGCAGTGCTCTATGTTCATTGGCGAATTTGCCGAGTTTTTGCAGTACTGAATTCTAACACTATACTATGTGTGATAAATGCTCGTTTAAAACAGATTCCCTCCACCACTCCAGGCGTAACATGTAATCATTTTCTTTCATTTCCCTTTCAACTTTTATTCTCCTGCTCAGTAACAACGTTGTGAAAGTAACGATATTCTACGAGAATCTCCAGTACGAGTACATCTACCAGACAGCAGCATACACAGTAAGTGTATTTGTGTGTTAATGATTCCGATGGCCTGGATAATTATCTGTAAAGCGCTTTTATCGTATCAGGACAATTACCCCCTGGGCAATCACCCCCCGGAGAATTACCCCCCGAGGACAATTACCCCCCAAGGACAATTACCCCCCGGAAAATTACCCCCCGGAGAATTACCCCCCGAGGGCAATTACCCCCCAAGGACAATTACCCCCCGGAAAATTACCCCCCGGAAAATTACCCCCCGAGGACAACTACCCCCGAGGACAATTACCCCCCGAGGACAATTACCCCCGAGGACAACTACCCCCGAGGACAATTACCACCCGAGGACAACTACCCCCCGAGGACAATTACCCCCCCCCCCTCGAAACACCATTACCGCGGCCCGAGGACAATCACACCCAGGGAATTTGTAACACTGTGACGTATAATGCGAGCTCCTCTTCAAATTGCTATTTAGAGAAAATGTCATGAACTTTCATTTTCTTAGTTATTTATGACGGAATAGATTTGTTTCGTACAAGGGTTGTGTATAAATTATATTTATATTCGTAGCTCACATTCAAAGCCCTCGTACCCATCTGCCAAATCTTTTTGCTTGACGTACATGTATCCTCCTAGGAGGAGATTTCACCCACCCCTCTCGCTCTGTATCCATTCCACCTTTGTGAAGTTTGACTTAATATGCCACGTGTATTGAATCAAATTCAATTGCCAGAAGACGCATGTATAAAATCGAATTCAATTGCCAGAAGACGCATGTATCAAATCAAAGTACGGAATTTACATTTCTTAGAAATTTAACAATACATTGCGCGCAGATGAGTACGCGTTAATACAGCTAGTCTCCCCCAAAATGGCCCAACAAAGAAATTAGGATGTAAGATATCATTATTTATGCATCATCTGTAACTTTTCTAATCAGCTGATCGTATATTTGTCTTTGTATGTATAATGGGCCCTCATCCATGATCTATTCCAAAATTAAGGTTCTCTTCATGTTTATAAATGTAATGTAATATATATATATATATATATATATATATATATATATATATTTCTGTTGTCATGGTGAACTAAAATATGTTTTCTTGTACTGTAATTTATTTTGAAATAAAAATTGCCTTCAAGTTAAATATAAGGTATGTACGGTGCCATATTAAAAGAAAATAAGTATCTGCACTTGGGTACATTCATCTCAATGATTTTGTAATTCCAGAGCAGCGTTTTTTCAACTGGGGTGCCGAAAGAGAATGTTAGTTACATGACAATTTTTTTTGGCAAACGTTGATTTTGTGAAAAACAAATATCAGAAACGGGTAGAGTATTTATTTTCATGAGAAAATAAAATGTAAACAAATAATAAAATGTCTTTCTTCCTTGCTCACTGACAATATTTTGCGAATATATATCTCTTATTTCGACATCACATTGTTACCACACTCATCACAATTATAAACATGGTGAATCAAGGCAACGAGAGGCCCGAATATCCTCATATTCGTGTATCAAGGTCATGACCGAATATTTCACTTTATATTCGTGTACATTCGGCGGTGAGGCGCCCGCATACCTTAAATATGTGCTAGTGTGTTGATTACAACATTATGTTTTACCATTTTGAAAATGTCTTGTCCTTGTTTTTCTTGCTCGTTCACTTAATCAAGAAACAAATGTGCCCATACGTGTGTACATAGCACTTGACGAGTGCCAGAGTGATGCAAAATAAATAGTTTGTGAAGAATTTAAGATTGGGCGAAACTTTTCATTTCTTAAGAGGGCATCGTGTCGAACAAAAAGTTGAAATAACGCTGCACAAGAGAAATCCTTCGTAGAAAACAGCAACCACAGTGTTGTTGCATAGATTATAGTTAAAGAAAAATGTGTAGTAATGAGGAAGATCACGCGCAAGTATTTGAACGAATGTGGGCAGGGGCGGATCTAGCTTTTTGCTAAGGGGGGGGTTTGACCAAAATAATGACGATGCAGAGCATCGTCCACGAGCCGCGTAGCGGCGAGCCGATTTTTTTTGGGGTGTTTATTTGAACCCCGTAAGTGATGTTTTCCTGGCATCTATTAACACAATGGAGACCATAAAAAGCAGTGCATGATAACATCTTTTTAAATCAAGTAACAGCTTAATACACAGTTATATCCAGCCTTTTTATCATGTGTTTGGTTAAGTTACCAGATGAGTTGAATATCTTCTCACAATATTTGCACTTGAAAGGGTTTCTCTCCAGCGTGCGTTCTTTTTTCTTTCTTTTTTTTTTCTTCTTTTTTTTTTTTTTTTTTTTTTTTTTTGGGGCCGCCCAAGGGGGGGGGGGTTTGAACCCCCTAAACCCCCCCGTAGATCCGCGCCTGGTGGGTTCATGCACGGGATTTTATGGGCTCGTAGCCTTCACAGCATCTCTCAACGTGACAAATCGTCTTTTGCTATTGAATCCTGATTGTCCCCCGGGGGGGGGGGGGGTAATTGTCCTCGGGGGTAGTTGTCCTCGGGGGGTAATTTTCCGGGGGTAGTTTTTCGGGGGGTAATTATCCTTGGGGGGTAATTGTCCTCGGGGGGTAATTCTCCGGGGGGTAATTTTCCGGGGGGTAATTGTCCTTGGGGGTAATTGTCCTCGGGGGGTAATTCTCCGGGGGGTAATTTTCCGGGGGGTAATTGTCCTTACGGGGTTATTGTCCTCGGGGGGTAATTCTCCGGGGGGTAATTCTCCGGGGGGTAATTGTCCTTGGGGGGTAGTTTTCCGGGGGGTAACTTTCCGGGGGGTGATTGCCCAGGGGGTAATTGTCCTAGAACCCGCTTTTATACAGACGTTATTTAGTATCATATTAGGCCAATCCAGATTTGTATCATCATTGTTATTGACTTAGTGTCGTCAAGAGCGACGTCTTTTTTCTAACCATGTCGGTGGTTCTTCGAATTAAAAAAAACACTGCCTATTTGTTGTTCTCCTCCTCCTCCAGATATACTCCTTGATCAGCGATCTCGGTGGGCAGATCGGTCTGTGGATCGGCGTCTCCATCCTGACTATCTTCGAGTTCATTGAACTCATCTACGATCTCATCAAACTCATCTGCCTCAAGCTGATGGACCCGCGCATGAAGAAGAAGAGAAGCTCACAGAGTCAAACGAAACAGAGTAACGTCATGGCCCTTGACGGACAGCAGGGACGCACCAATTCCCTTTTCGCGGACCGCTGACGCAAGCATATGATGACGGACAAAATGGAGGATTTTCCTTCGTTAACTAGCATGCAGGTTGTCATAATATGATTTATCGAACAGTGTGATAGAAGCGGATATGTTTTCACAGTTAAGCCATTCACTAGGTCCACACCTTGTTGACGTAAGGTAGCGTCATTTATAGTCGTTGCATACATGCGCCGTTTTACTGACTTGGGAATGCGTCATTTACTACCACATTCTATGACATGCCATGTGAAAGTGGCATCACACAAAAACTGATTGAAAGATGATAAGTGCAAACGTTGCCTACAAAGATTGGCGTTTGGACTAATAACCGTCACGGGCTTGATTAGCACAAGTAATAACGAATAGTTTACAACGGTCACTGGAAGATGCAAGCTGTGATGTATTCCCATACGATAGTTGATTCTTTCGATTAAAAAAAGAATGATGCCAAACTAAACAACGAATAATACAGATAATGATGGCTACACATAGACAATCATTCGAGAAGAAATCTCAATGCATCCATCTATTTTGTATAGATTCAATGATATATGTCTGAACTTGTCCTGTATATTCATATGGCTGAATTTTATTGACTGACGCAAAGGAATTGATGCATCATAACGTAGCTCGTAGAGTGCACACTGCATACGATGATCAGTTTGTTGACGTGAAACTGCGTCAAGGACTGACGCACCGTATGAGAGTGACATCTTTAAAAAAATGAACTGTGACAATAATGCGTTAAATGGCTGACGTATGCACTAATTGACTTCACCGGTGATTGGCGCAGGTAGTGGCGCAGCCGGATGACACCCCGTGTTTAAGGAGCCTAAAAACGAGCAAAAATGTTGGACCAATGACGCTTAAAATAGCTGAGCATAGAGAAGGCAATTAAGACCATCTCGATTAGAGATGGTGCACACATTTCATGGTGCGTCAGAACACATCGGGTCAAGAGAATTGCTACAGATATAATGATATGAATATTTATTGTATTTATCCATTTCATATTTGTGCAAACGTATTTGCATGTTTCAATCGTGTTAGTATTGTCGTGATATGGATTTGCTGAGTTCAGCACAAGTTTTCGCAAATGTTATTACTTTTAATATAACATGACAATTTACTCAAGCGTTATATCAATCTAAAGCTATATATTTCACACAAGTCCAAAGTTTTTCGGACGTCAATAATTTTCTTTCAAAACCTTACTGTTTTAGGTAAGTTTTGCATTTCGCGCTTGCGAAAATAAAAAAAAAAGAAGAAACGCCAATCTCTCTTTTAACACAATTATTGACCATGACATTTTACCCGAAACTTTGGGGCATTTTCAAGTACTTTTTAACATGCTTTTGCTCAAAAGTTATATTTCAAGCATTTAAGACAGCCGTAGAAATTAGTTTAATAGTTATACAAACTATCACTTTGGCAATAATCTTAAGTTATTAGCATCTTAAAAGTGATTATCATCATTCCTCTTTCAACTCGGAAGTCTTTTAATCATGTCTAAAGTCTAAAACTAAAAGTGCAATGATTTCAGAATGCCGTAACAATTATTGTTCATGTTTTTTTGTCTTTCGTATTTTTCGTTTATCAATAAAATGAAGATGAAATATTTCCTGTTATTTCTTTTCGTCGGCAGGGTGTCTTTCAGTTTTTTAATATGTTTATGATAACGCAACTAATTGAATGTCATGTTGAATATTTTACTGAATTTTTATCTTGAATAATGAATTATGAAGTATAATGTAGGAATAGCTGATTATAAAATGTGATAGACCTACATTTCTCGGGTAATTCAGAAAGTACATAGCAGTACATTGCATAAAAATGGGCGTTGGACATCCAAGCTAGCCATTATTATGTAATTAACAATTTATGCTTGTGCGAAAATGGTAGCACACGTACTACAAGATTCAACCTAAATATCGTTTAGCAATTGTATGTGAGATGTTGTACGTTTTTCTTTCAAAGGAGCCCCCATTCTGACAGTGGTGCTTGAGCTTTATAGCGACATCTACGATGTATTTGTTAAGAACTATGTGTGATTTTTTTTCTGCACTTCTTGCGAACAAATATAAAAGGTTAAGAGGACGATTATTTTGCTAGATTGACAGTGGAAGAAGATTGAGGCTATTGATTGGAGCAATAAAATAATGTAAAACACTTTGATTAATTACTTGTATTAAAGGCCCACTGCACTACTGGTAGCTACTTGCGCCCTCTATATAACAAACAATGCCTAATCGGTGACCATTGGTCCCCCATGATCCTCTTTTTCTTATGTTAACTGAGAGCTGAGTTGATGAGATAACCACCTGTCCAGTGACCTTGCAGAGCGGTCTAATCCCTCCTGTAAACTATGGCAGATAAGCTTTAACCTCGAAAGAGACCACGTAAAAGAATTGTTTAGATATCACTAGTACTTTAAAATTATTATTGCGGTGGAAAATATACTGAGCTTATTGAAATATTATTTCCTACATCTGTGTTCTTCAAGAATCAAAGCTACAAATCCTGCATTCTTAACAGTTTTTTAATTAAGAAACGTTCACAGTTGACCGTTTCCAAATTTATATTACTCACTGGTTTTTACACGGATTCAACTAGCATCATGTACGTTTCACATCGGGATGTATCAAATTGACCTCATACTTCTTTTATTTTTCAACTACAAATAAGTGCATACTGGTAGCCAATGAATAATTAAATATATACATATTTTTAAATTGACAAATTAAGTCTGATCTCATCAATCCGTCGCTGTTTTCACGAAGTGACGGTAGTGAAAAAAAATTGCATTCACTTTGCGTTACGATTTTCCTCACTACCGTCACTTCGTGAAAATCGTCATAAAATGAGTGATTAAAAATTCCTATTTGTGATATGGTGGATCTGATAGCAGTTCATTTGTTGTGAACTGTCAAATTTTGTGAGAAATTATCTATGTTCTTGATAGCAATAGACAAATATATATATATCATAATAAAACAACCAAATATAATATTGTTGATTTGTTCTATTCCACGTTTCTTTTGTATGATATTTCATCAAGTGATATGTGAATATGAAGTATAGTAATCAGAAGCTGAATATCAACTTTTAATACAGAACAGACAACATTAATGAGCTACGTTTAAGATAATGATTAAGACTCTCTATAGACATTAAAGATATTAAGGTTCAAATTTTGCACCCTAACTGGTACAACAAGGTATCTTAAATCTCAGAGCTAAGTGAATGAGCGTTTGACTTCTGTTGTGCGCAGTTTTTGCTGTGGTTCATACCGCGTCATATCTCAACTCTTAAGGCTTGTACAGATACGGTAAACCGCCGCGGTTTTTATTTAACGTGTGGAATAGCAACGAACTGCGCAAAAAAAGTACTTGCGGTAATTCACTGAGCTCCGAGTCTTACAGAAGAGTGAAGCATATTACACTTTACGTAATCTTTTTTTATTTAAAAACGCGTCATTATTCTAAACGAGCCTTAACAGTCTCCACCCTTATGTGTAAATTTGCAATGTTTGTTTGTTATATATTTGTAAAAATCCAAAAGAAAATGAAAATCAAACAGAAAAAAAAAAATCAAATCAAATCAAATCAAATCTTGAGGTTTGATATCGCACCCAAACAGTTCCTGAAGTGGAGAGATGAGTCACATAATTAAACCTGCACCCTTTAGGGGCACACCTTGCACTCCTTTATGTTCAGTATTTCCCCATTTGCTATTCATTTACCCCCCCCCCCCCCCCCCACTCCAGGAACGGGACCGCATTCATGTTCCCAAACGTCCAGTAAAGGGGTACTTTTCACGCAGCAAAGTCCAGCTCGTAACACACAACAAAAATCGGCCCGTATTGACTTTACGCACCGGACATAGGGAGTGTTTTCTAAAGGAGGGAACATGCATACGCGTACCCCAAATAACACTGAGTGTGTGTGGGGGGGGGGGGGATTTATCCATCAGGCTTTGTCAAGAGTGCAGCTTTTGAACTTTTTAAAATATGAACAAATTCTGCTATTGTACCTTTTTGAGTTTAAATCAATTTCTTATTGTGAAAGAATTATGTATTTTGTAACATTAATTATTAGAGATAGACAAATCATCGCTCTTGTCACGAACCGAACGGAGAGGCCAAAAATAAATGTTTTTACAAATGTTAGTTAAATACATATTTTGACTATACTTACGTAATCTATAACCACACAAGACATAACATCTTAATTATGCATAATTAAGCCATTAGAGATGTACTTTCCTATCATTTTTCTCCAATCATCTTGCAAAATGATTTTCAGTAGCGTAACCAGTCACTGGTAACCAACCCTGTCAGATGCAAAACCCAAACAAGTGTACAAGAATGGTCCACCAAAGATCTCTGTTTGTAAGTACCAGGATCTTATGTCACTCTGCAGTGGAACTACCTCAACAATTACAAGCGTTTTCATGAGATGCTACCCCACAAGATTTCTCTCTCCCCAACGATACAGTTCAGATTATTATGTATTGACGATGAGATTTCACTTTATCACCGAGCCTGATTTGTACTGAAACAACTGTCCGAACATCAGAACGTTTTTTTTTTTGCAGCTGTAGCTCTAAATAAATAAATTAATAAAATGAAAAAATATCAAACTTAACACCATTAGATATAGTGCATTTCTCATTTTACATGTGCTTTTAAAAGTATATATACAGTGCATATTTAAATATATTTGTTGTCACCAGGTAGGCATTTTGTGAAAACAAATTCCCTGGGTATATTGATCCCTTCCTTGAATTTGATATATGGACAGCAATTTACATGTATTTTCATAGTTCACAAATGAATTCTATCTTGGCCTATTTTGCTCCTCTGCTGAAGGGATCGAGGCCTCTTCGTCACGCTTCCACTCTGCTTTCTGTTTTTGTATACACGTAATGCACAAGAAAATCAGATGTTTCATATCTCACAATCACTGTAATTTCCAGTACTAAAAATACTGTGTCATTTGAATGCACATTTTGTTGTTCGATGTAATGTGAAGAAAAAAATAGAGAAATTATGTAAACATGCACATTTAAGCCAATTTTTCTACCAAACATTTTTGAAAAAACAAAACAATATTATTATTGAATCGAATTAGATTGATTCGTTAACCTTTTAGTGGAAACAAATGTAGCCTTTTCAGTAAAAGAATATGAAATAGAATACGAAATAGCAAAAATGACTTGCAAAATCTCCTTGTAATCTTCTTTCTCTAAGATCTTGGAGAAAATCATATATATTAGAACAGTTGCCTTCCTAAAAAATCATAATGTTTTCTCCAATTTTCAATTTGGTTTCAGGGAAAAACATAGTACCATTCATGCTTTATTATCTTTTGTGGAGAAAGTAGCTCATGCTTTTGGCAAATCTTCTCACATGGTTGGTATTTTCCTGGACTTCTCCAAGGCCTTTGACACAATAAACCACGATATATTACTTTATAAACTTTCCCATTACGGTGTACGTGGAAATGCTTTGGAGTGGTTCAGGAACTATCTTTCTAACATAAAGCAAAATGTCTTTTTCAACGATTGTTCTTTGGATTTATGTAATGTTAGCTGTGGCGTTCCACAGGGGAGCCTACTAGGTCCACTTTTATTTATTCTGTATATAAATGATTTCAGCAGGTCATCTCATATTTTATCGTTTTATTTTTTGCTGACGACACGAATCTGTTCTTTTCCCACAACAATCCACACACTCTTATGCAAACGGTTAATTTTGAACTATAAAAGATTCTACAATGGATTGGAGCCAACAAACTTTCACTTAATCTCCAAAAAACTAATTATATGTTGTTCAGTAATACTATAGATTCACTGCCAAGCAACATTGTATTCGACGACGTCCCGTTGTAGAGAGTTCCTTTCACTAAATTTGTAGGCGTAACAGTCGACAATAAACTCTCCTGGAAGTACCATATTGACAACATCTGTAAAACTATTTCTCGTAATATTGGTGTCATGAATAGATTAAAAACTCATCTCCCTCTATCTTCCTTACTTACGCTTTATTCCTCGCTGGTCTTACTATATCTAAATTATGGACTCCTGGTGTGGGGCAATACACACCTTACTTTGTTAAACAGAATCTTATTATTACAAAAGAAAGCTCTTCGTATCATTTGTCTTTCTCATTTCGCTCTCAAACGGATCCTCTTTTCTTTACAAATAAAATATTGAAAGTTAAAGATCTTTATGTCTTTCAGTTGGGCCAGTTTATGTATTCTTATAATAACAACATGCTCCCTTTCGTTTTGATGATATGTTCACCCTAAATTAATCCTCTCATAAGTACCAAACTCGGCATTGTAATGATTTTCATTTACCTTTGCTGAGAACCCTTCTAGCTCAAAACACGTTTATTTATACAGCCCCCAAATTTTGGAACTCTATTCATATTGACATTCAACTTGCCCCCTCTCTGAATTCATTTAAGAGGAAATTGAAATTGTTTCTTATAATTCCTTACAATACAAATTAATATCAGTGCATTGTCAAATCATTTCTTGCCTTCCCTTCCTTCCCGTCACATCTTTTTTTGTTAACGCTCTGTATGTGTCTTACTAGGTCACTACCGCTGCCTTATGTACATCGTGCTCTCTCTCTCTCTCTCTTCTCTTCTCCACCTCTCCTCTCTTTTTCTTTACTCAAAACATATGCAGCAACATTTTCTATTCTTCCATTTCTCTTTTTTCTTGCTTTATTTTTGTTGTCTTATATATTCTTTTTTAATTACTAATATGTATGACTTATCTGCCAATCGTCATTGTCTCTTTCGACCTTTCCATTGCTCACTATACGCTATCGTAACAAGTTTTTAAATTACGGATTTATAATTGCATTATTATTTTGCCACTTTTTGGTTTTCTATGTATATATATATTTTTCAAGTCGATATATTTACATGTTACAAAAATTATGTTTGTCATTATTTTGAGGGATCCACATTTTACAGCTCTACTTTTCAGTGGTTTCCTCTATTTCCACAGGTTTATCTTTATTTAAGAATGAAAAAACCCATTATATTGGATAATTATGTATACTTTCTATTTCACAACTTTAAACCATATAAATTGTATTATTTTATTGAATGGTGAATTGTATAACTGATTTCTTGTCATAATTACTGTTCTGTTTGAAATGAGATAAAATAAAAATGAAACTGAACTGAACTGAAATATGAGATATCAATTCATTTGTAAACATGTACCGCTTACTAAATTTGTTACACTACTCTTGGGTTTTCCCCAGAGCAATAAATAGAAGTGTTTCCTGCGATGTTATCACGTGATCTTTGACCCAATCCTTTTTCATGGTCGAGAAAATGAATGGAATGCGAATGAGTTGAATTACTTTTGTGGTAATATTATATATTTAACGGCGTACTCTTAATACAAAGTGGGGCGGGGGAAGGGAGTCTTTCCTCATTCCAGGCCAAGCGCGTACGCAGGTGGGGGGGGGGGCTGAGGGGGGGGGGGGTGGTTTTGAGGTTAACCCCCCCCCCCCTTGAGTTTTTTTTATGTGTATGTCTTGTGTATGTTGTTTGTGAAACCCCCCCTTTTGATTTTAAAAATTTATGCCAATGGCTTACCTAAAAAAGGTGACCTTACCCCCCCCCCCCAACGGAACTAAATGTCATTTTTTCAAATTTCGAGACCCCCCCCCCCCCCCCTGGTTGAGTCGTTGCGATTTTTTTTGGACTCCCCAAAAAAAAAGTGTCCGCTTACCCCCCCCCCCCCCCCCCCCCCCCCCCTTGAAAAAAATCCTGCGTACGCTACTGTGCCAGGCCATCACTCTGGAATTGTTTACCTCGAGGGATCAGAGATAATTATATTCCTACAGTAGAATCTTTCAAAAGCGTCCTTAAAATGTATCTTTTCCAGTTTACTCTCAATGGTTGATATGATTTTTCTTCCTTTTTGTGTACAAGTATGTTTATGTATTTTTATGTTTCTGCACTAGTGTGCCTTGAGCATTTGATTTTTAAGTGAATTTGGCGCCTTATAAATCCTTTATATTTTCATTATTATATACTAGGAATGAGCTATACCGTAGATCAAAATTAATTAGGTACCATAATGTTGATTTGAGAATCCAATTCATATGTATTTATATAATTCCCACGCTTCTATTGGGTTTTCCCCAGAGCAATAAATAGAACTGTTTCCCGCGTTGTAAGTTATCAGGTGATCTATGAACCATTCCATTTTCATGGTCTTGAAAACGGCGTACTCTAAGAACATCGCAACCTTTTCAGTTTCCTACTTTATCTACCTAACTTATCGTCTAAGGTAAGTGGAATAAGATCAATTCATTACAACTGTTGTAATCTTTTTTTGCAAAATTGGCGAAAATGTGAATGATATTCGAAAATAGTGCACCGTGCTATCGCTGTTGGTGGTGGTAGTGGCGGATGCAGTACATTATATAATGCAATTCGTTTTCCTTTGCTAGGAATCGGCATGATTCCAGTGACGTGTATGTTTAATACCAGCAAGATGAGAATGTCACTCCTTGTATTACGAGCATATAAAGCATAATCAGTTTTGGTGTTCACAATTTACAAACAAAATACAGGGAAAAGGGAGAGAAAGAGGGAAAGAGAGAGATAGATAGAGAGAGAGAGAGAGAGAGAGAGAAAGAGGGAGAGGGAGAGAGTAAGAAGGGGGCGAGTAGCTATAGCCGATTTTAAAATCTCATCTACACATAACACCTGAAAGACAGAGAGAACAGACAATGTTGTGTTCAATGTTACCGCAACCAAATAAATAAGATCAAAGTCCAGACTTGTCTTCTAAAGTTCATATTTCAAGCATTTTACAACACGCCAGTGGTCGTGCATTGAATTGCTATATTCTTCGAGATTTTATGAGATATAGCAGTATAGAAAATTCATGAAATTATCAGTATTTATTGTTACTATGTAGTAGTCACCTATTGTGCCGCCTTTTAGGAGTAAATGTGTGTTGTAGAACATGTATAGAAAGTCTGAAATGATTAGGCATTTGATTTTAGTTGGTGTGGGGGGGGGGGGGCTATAGAGCATGGACGTAAAACAAATGTTTATACCTAAGTGACACCGCTTACCCGAATCTAAACCGATTCAAATCGAACGATTCTCGGTTATCAAATTCAATTGCTTGAATGTTCGGTCTGTTATCGGTCTGGTATTCATTTTTTCAAATTCATATACTTAATATTATATTATATTTTTTCATCATTGTATACGATATGTATTTCTGTTAATTCATGCATATTTAAAAGTAAATACCAGTTTTGGAAACGCCCCCCCCCCTCCCTCCTCTCAAAAATGAAATTGAAGCTCCTATTACCAATCATGTGAAAGAATACGTTTTGACTAATACGTGATGATACAAATTTTGCAGATAAACCGCCTACTATTGATATATTCGGTAAATTATTATATCTGTTTGGACCTGATAGACATCGCACACGTGTCGCGCATGTGTCGAGTGGTCCCATATACATCTTTATGCGTACAGTGCTTGTAACTTTACCAAGACTGGGGCAAAATTTCTTATCATTTTGATGATTCAAGAACCTTGCAGTACACTCCAATACTGATATGCTAGATGATCAACCTTTTCTGATCGATTCCACAACGTTTCTTTCACAATGCAATCGCATGAAAATAACTGGTCTTTATCTTTAAATCTTTAGATTAATCATGTAGTATATTGTATAATTGATTGTTGTAAAGCGTATAGAGAATTCATTATTATGTGCTGTATAAAAATTATTTTATTATTATTATTATTGTCTATTGCATCCATATTAAAGTGAATCATCTGAGATTTAAAGTAGACAAGAATTGTGTTTGGGTAGATGTTATACTTGAAGTAAACTGTAACCTCATTCTGTCCACCTTGTTAAATTGTGTTACCTAAAAAGTATTAAATGTCATCTTTAACATATTTTCCGTTTTTTCTTTCAACCGCTTTCATATTCACAGTTCTATTTAACAAAAAGACTCGTAGCCATGATTGTAATCTCAGATACAAATGGCGAAACCTGATAATTAGCAATACCAGTAATATTCCTCGTTATAAACCACAAGTAAACACTCTTGAATTTGTTTCATGACGATAGAGAATTTAATTACTGAGCAAAGACTGCTACTGTGCTGCTTAAATAATGATAATAATAATATTCTGGTTTTATATTGCGCTTAATTCATTGATGGTGTCTCTAAGCGCTCATCGGGGGGTTCGGGCTTGCCAGCACACAATTTATGCACATTCTCTACTCCCTGGGGAACATTCCAACCAGGCACCATTTTACAGACGCTCACACTGCTGAGCAAACTGCAACGATTTTTTTTGTATCCTACCGGAAACCCATAGATAGAAGTCAAGAATTCCAAACATAAGGCTGACGAATGGTTCTATTCAATTGTACACGTTTACATACCGTGTGAGTCAAAAAAGTTTACACCTAGAAAATTGCTTATTATTAAAAAATCATCTATGAACAGTAAATTATTATACATCTTATGAAAGAGTGTTTTATCCCAAATCTTTTGGTATCATTTTTGTGTGGTAAGTGTTGACGCTTGGATGAACAGGAGGCATTGTTTGCAAGAGTGCACAAATCGACTTGCGCCAAAGTGATGCCTACAGTATGTATTATGTTGAGATTTAAGCAGAGCTCCCACTTGGCCGAGTTGGAGCCTCGAGTTGTGGCGAGTTGGCGCAAGCTTATGGCTAGCCGTTTTATCATTAAAACATATTTCTTGATATCAAGAATTCAATTCTTAATATCACGAAATCGAATTCTTGATATCAAGAATTACCATTGCTTTACAACGTAAAATTATTTCTTGATATCAAGAAATATGTTTTAATGGTAAAACGGCTTGCCATAAGCTTGTGGTCGATTATTATATCCCTTAGCGTAATATTGTTGCATTAGGAGTGTACACAACAACAACAAGAAAAAGTATAGTTTTACTAGAAAAGGCGTTTACTGCCGAATAGTTCATGTTGTATTGCTGACGTCACCAATAGTTCATCTTTTCCCTGGAAAAAAGCTAACTATTCGTCCCCCCCCCCCACAAAAAAAAAAGAACTGGCAAAACTCAGCTAGCGTATGGGATTTCAAATGCCTTCAGCGGGGAACTCCCTCGGTGTCACGGGGCTCACGTCATGCAATTTACGCTGTGCAGTAACTGTACTATACTACTGCAGTACCTTTCTATGGCCAGCTTATTACATCCTAATTCGATGTTTCATTTGAGCCGTGCAATTTTCTTTAATTTCTTTTTTGTATGTGATGTGAATGTGAGAACAGTACATGTTATTACAGAAATGTCCAAGGAATGAATACGGGTGGAAGGGATATCAAACAAATATACAATAACTCATTCTCGGAACAAGCTAAAACTATTTGCTCTCAAGAACAACAATAGTCTCGATCCCGGCCCTCCGAAGATTAGTACTATTTGATGTTCCTTCGATACGAGTAGTTGCAGCTAGATCATCGAGTGTCATTGTATATTTGTATATTAACACTGTTTCTCTCCTTTTCCCTTTAGATGGCAATGAATTATCTCGGAAAAGCAGCAGGCTATGCTTCGCAAGTGCTAACAAGAACTGTGAAGACCGAAGTGCAGCACCTTGCAACGGGTAAATCTTAATTTCTAACGTGTGAAGATTAAATAATGTAAGGACAACACACCCTTATTGAAAAGGGGAACTATTCATAAACATTATGTAACATTATATCCCGTATCGTAAGATTGCTGCATTAGGACTGTACACAACAAGAAAAAGAAAAGTTTGCTAGAAAAGAAGTTTCCTGCCGAATAGTTCTCCTTTCTTCCGGGAAAAGTGAGCTATTCGCCCCCCCCCCTAAAATAAAAAAAGCTGTCAAAATTCAGCGAGCGTATGGGATTTCAAATGCCTCCAGCGGGCAACTCCTCCGATGTCACGGCGCCATGCAATTTACGTTATGCAGTAACTACACTACACTACTGCAGTACCTGTATATAGCGCCATGCAGCTAAACATATTTACATTCTTCAATGTTTCATTTGAGCCTTGCTATTTTTTTTTTGTATGTGATGTGAATGTGAGTACGGTATATATTATTACAGAAGTGTCCAAGGAATGATACAGGTGAAAAGGATATCAAACAGATATACAATAACTCATTCTCGGAACAAGCTAAAACTATTCGCTCTCAGGAACATCAATAGGACTATTTGATCTTCCTTCGATACGAATAGTATAGATATAATGACTGCTATGAGAGGAATACTCGAATATTTAAGCTATATCATTGTAGATTTGTATACTATTGTTTTGAAATCATTCGAAATAAGCGCTCAGTGTAGACTGATTTTCAGCATCTACTAAAGACCAGCTTTGGAAACGCCCCCTCTCAAAAAACGAAATGGAAGCTCTTATTACCAATCATGTGAAAGAATATGTTTTGACTAATACGTGATGATACAAATTTTGCCGGGAAACCGCCTACTAATTGATATATTTGGTAATTTTTATATCTATTTGGACCCATTAGATATCGCGCACGTGTCACGCACTGTCGCGTAGTCGCATATACATCTTTCTGTGTACAGTGCTTGTTACTTTACCAAGACTGGGCCAAATTTCGTACAGTTTTGATGATTCCAGAACCATGCAGTACACACCAATACTTATATGCTAGATGATCAACCTTTTTTGATCGATTCCACAACGTTTCTTTCACAATGCAATCGCATGACCAGGACTGATCTCTATCTTTAATGACCCAAGGTATTACTTCAAATCACAAGTCTAAATGAAATGATACCCTTCGTAAATATATTCATATCTTATATGATCTTTTTTTTTTTATATAGTTCAGTTAAAACGTTTCAAGCCAAGCATTTATCCTTTAGTGTGTGAATCAAGATTTATGTTTCAATTCAATTCAATTCACCCTATAAACGAAGTTCGTGAAGAAGTGGAGGAATCTGATGAAGGTGATTGGAGATTGGACATCTGAGATGAACCTATCTGGACAAAATAGGAGAGAGAAGAAGAAACCAAACGTTCTGGTATAATTTAGGTCTACAATATACACATCATTGTAATTGACATTTTAGGATATTTAATAGAGAAGTATCATGACTATTTTTTTGTACTACACTCAATCAATCATTTAATTTGTATATACTACAGGGGGAGCGTCTACAAGCACGGGGCAAGCTGGCAGAAGTGAAACTCCACCAGTCTCCGGTAAATAGAAAAAGAAAAAGAAAAAGAAAAAAAGAAAAGAATATGCATTGATAATTTCCCTCTGAAACGATATAGATTGAAAGCGAAACAGATTAGTAACCATTCTGTGTCAATACCATGAAAATGACAACATTATACAATGATTCCTTCTGATGATGAATTTGCTTATATATTCGAAAAATGTATATTGATTGTCATGATGGTTAATCGGTAATTATTATACCCTACAGGAACGTTGAAATGATCATTATTTTCAAACTCTCTGTAAAAAACAACATTATGTAATAATTTCAAATCACAAGTGTAAATGATATGATAACTGTTCATAAATATATTCATATCATTCTTTATGATTTTAGAATTTTCATTTCTATAAGTCAGTTAGACATTTCAAGCCAAGCATTTATCATGTAGTGTCTTATTCAAGATTTTCATTCATTTTTGTTTCGCGTTCATTGTACAAAATATATGCTCATTGACAAAACTGCAGCGCTTACCTACAATCGGTTATCCGCGATGTTACTGTTCATGTTGCACTTAATCTATAGTCATTTGCACAGAAAATTAGATATGCATAGGACATTTGATGTCATGATTTAAGCTTTAAACATACATGTATATCATTTTCTTCACTATTAAATTCATTCAATTCACTCTGTTAATGAATTTAATGAAGAAAATGAAGAATCTGATGATGGAGATTAGCAACTACTTGTTTTGAATTCAGTAATTTAGTTAAATCAATTAATCTCGTACAATAATATTTAATATATAGTATAACCTAGTAAACACGAAGTCGATGCCTTTTGGAATTTTACTCGGCGGTATTTGGGTGTTAAATTAGTCGTAAAGATAATAGGGATTTCTAGATCTACAGATGAGATAATGTAATCATGCAAATGTATTTCAAGTTTAAGATGATACAATTAGATAATATGAATGTTTCTGATTTGTTAACATTTTTGTCAACAATAGAGCAACCGCGTACACAGACTCCGACTGACGGCACTAACAAGATTGTTGCTTCGGATACCAGTACTGTAAGAGGGAACACCATGGTTGGTAAACAGAGAAAAAGAGGGCGCAGTAAGTATTGTTTTTCTTGGAATGGGTAATATTAATTTTTAAAATATAAGACCATCAACATGACAAACATCAGGATCTTGTGTTAGACATTTATCATTTGTTGTGGTGATAAGGGTTAATTATTTCAGAAAGCATGAGAAAAAAAAAAATTTATCCTGTGAAAGACAAATAGTTTAAAACTTACCACCTAATGCCAATACTTGGAAAGAATATTTTTCCTTTTTCAACGTATTGGGCCTGCAGAAAAGGAAATGCATCGACAAAGAAAATACACATTGACAAATTTGCAGCACTTACCTACACTCAGTTTTCCACGATGTTACTGTACATGGTGCATTTTAGATTGATTTATCGTCATTCACAGAAAATTAGATATGCAGAGGACATTTTATTTCGCGAATTAAGCTGAATACCACGCCCCCCCCCCCCACTCAGTGTTATTTAGGGTACGCATATGCATGTTCCCTCCTTTTGAAAACACCCCCTAAGTCCAGTGTGTAAAAGTCAATTTTGTGTACTACGAGCCGGACTTTGGTGCATGAAAAGTACCCCTTTACCGGACATTTTGGTCGGGCCGGGCTGAATACATATATCATTTTCTTTTCAATTTAATTAATTCAATTAAATCAATTCTCCCCGTAGATGAATCTGATGAAGAAGAGGAGGAATATGATGAAGTTAATTAGGCAAATATTTGTTTTTAATTCAGTAGTTAGGATAAATCAATTAATCTTTTGCAAATATATCTAATTGTAGACTGATTTTTAACGCCAACTTTAATATCAACCACCCAAGGTATTTTCTTCAAATCAAAAGTGTAAATAAAAAATATTTGTTCTAAAATATATTCATATCTTTATGATATCAATTCATTCAATTTTACTCTTTAGATGAATCTGATGCTGAAGAGGAGGAATCTGATTAAGGGGAACAGGCATTTTTTTTTAATTCGTTAATTAAATCAATTATTCTCTTGCAATAATATCCAATGCAAAAGATAAAAGAAGATTTAAATGTAGAAAAAAAAAAATTATGTTCATGAATAGTAAAAACAATATTTTCGCATTGTTTTTCCTAATCTGATGATAAGATTCCAGAATAAATTAATTTATATACAAACTAGTGAATAACGAGTGATTATGATGAAACATTTTAAGAATTTGTAAAACATAAAGCTTGGGGTATATGGCGATATACTGTTACGAAATGTATATTTCTAAGTCCTAAAAAAAAAAAACTTTGTAATCCATACTCGGCATGACAGCTAATGGTTTATTATGCTTTAATTCACAGATGCACCGTCGGGTAGTCGTACTAAAAGAAGGCGCAGTAAGTATTATTTTCTTTAAATGGGTAATAATAATTTTTAGAATAAAAGACCATCATCAACATGAAATACATCATTTAAAGCGAGTCTTCATAAACCTCATTCATTTCATGATCTTGTGTTAGATATTAATCATTCGATGTGGTGATTCTCATAAGGGTAATTTAGCAGAAAGCATGAGGGGAAAAATTATTTTCATCCTGCATGTGAAAGACAAATAATGTATAACGTACCACAAATGCCCATACTTAGAAAGAATCTGTTTCCCTTTTCAACGTATTGGGCCTGCAGACAAGGAAATACGTCGACAAAATAAATTATACATTGTCAAACTTGCAGCACTTACCCACACTCAGTTTTTCACGATGTAATTGTTCATGGCGCACTTTAAATTGATTTATCGTCATTTACACAGAAAATTAGATAATAAATATGCCTAGGACATTTAATATCGCGACTTAAAGCTGTATCTATCTATCTATCTATCAGGCTATAGTTCATCCAGACGTTGGACAAAGCCCTCCTCATAACATTTCCATTCTCTTCTGTCTCTAGCTGTCCTAGTCCTAGTACACATGTATCATTTTTTCATTCAGTAATTCAGATAAATCAATTAATCTCTCGCAATAATATGTAAAAGAAGACTAACTTTCAATACCAACTTTAATATCAACACCCAAGGATTTTTTTCAAATCACAAGTGTAAATGAAATAATGACTGTTTGTAATTATATATTCATATGTTTATGATTTTAAAATTGTCATTAGTATGTGTCAGTTAAAACGTTTCAAGCCAAGCATTTATCATTAAGTATTTTAATTAAGATTTGTATCAATTTTTGTTTTGCACCCATTTTACAAAATATATAAGCACATTGACAAACCTGCAGCGCAAACCACAATTTGTTTTCTCGTATTTACCCTTCCACAAGGTTCCTTTATTAATAATTAACAAAATCATTTTCTCAACAGATCAAAACAAGCACGATTCCATGACTTGTCATATAAACATTCTCCACGATTTTCTTGTTCATGATGCACTTTTAATTGAGTATCGTCATTTTCATAGTAAATTAGATATGCATAGGACATTTCATATCGTGATTTAAGCCTTATACATGATTTCAATTTCTTTTCACTTTAATTCATTCAATTCACCCTGTAGATGAATCTCATGAAGAGGAGGAGGAATCTGATGAAGGTGATTAGACAAATATTTGTTTCGAATTCAGTAATGCAATTCAATCAATTTATTTCTTGCAATAATATCTCAGTCTGGACTGATTTTCAGCGTCAAATATAATATCAACCACTCAAGGTATTATTTAAAATCAAAAGTGTACATGAATGATAATTGGTCGTAAATATATTCATATTATTCTTTATGATTTTAGAGTTGTCAATTTCAGCATTCAGGTAGATCGTTTCGAGTCAAGCATTTATCATTCAGTATTTAAATCATGATTTTTATTCATTTTTGTTTTGCACCCATTTTCAAAAATATATGCACATTCACAAACCGGCAGCTCTTACCTATTAGTTCTTCACGATTTTACTGTTCATGACGCACTTTGAATTGATTTTATCGTTATTTTCAGTTATTACAGAAAATAAAATATGCATATATAATTTGCTGTCGTAATTTAAGCTTTTTATGCATATATCAATTTCTTTTCAATTAAATTCATTCATTTCACCCTGTAGATGAAACTGATGAAGAAAAGGAGAAATCTGATGAAGGTGATAAGCAAATATTTGTTTTGAATTTAGTAAATCAGTTAAATCAATTTATTTCTGCAATTATATCTAAGTCTAGACTGATTTTCAGCGCCAAATATAATATCATCAACCATCCAAGGTATTATTTCAAATCACAAGTGTAATTGAAATAATGGTTGTTCATAAATATATTCATATCATTCTTTATGATTTTAAAATTGCCATTTTTATGAGTAAGTTAGAACGTTTTAAGCAAAGCATATATCCTTTAGTATCGTATTCAAGATTTTTATTCATTTTTGTTTTGCGCTCATTTAACAAAATATAATTATGCACATTGACGAGTATGCAGCACTTATTACCTATAATCAGTTCTCCACGATATTACTGTTCAAGATGCACTTTGAATTGATCTATCGTCATTTTAACAGAGAATTAGATATGCATAGGATATTTGCTGTCGCGATTTAAGCCTTATGCATACATAAATTTCTGTTCAATTTAATTCATTCAATTCACCCTGTAGATGAATCTGACGAAGAAGAGGAGGAATTTGATGAAGGTGATTAGGAAAATATTGTTTTGAATTCAGTAATTTAGTTATAAAATCAATTAATTTCTTGATATCACTGCTATGCAGATGACATCCAGATCTACGCATCGTTCCTTCCCAATCAAAATGACGCAAGTCGGACTGTCAAACTACTCGAAGCTTGCGTCAAAGATGTGCAAACTTGGATGAACTCGAACTCACTCAAACTGAATGATAGTAAAACTGAATTAATTTTATTGGGTTCCAAATCAAATCTTGCTAAGATGCAGTCGTTCAATATATCCATATCAGATTCTGTAATTAGTCCTTCCTCGCAATGTCGTAACCTTGGTGTCATGTTAAACTCGTCTATGTCATTGTCAACTCACGTTTCTAGTATTTGTAAGTCAGTCAGATATCAACTGAGAAATCTAGGTTTTATTAGGAAATACTTAAGTCGTTCAACCACAGAGAAACTTGTACATGCTCTTATTTCATCACGCTTAGATTTCTGTAATTCTATTCTCTATCTGCTCCCTAACACACAACTTTCTCGACTCCAGAAACTGCAAAATACTGCTGCACGTATTGTCACACTTTCTTCTCGTAGAACCCACATCACCCCCATTCTCAAAACTCTTCACTGGCTCCCGGTATGTGACCGAATTATTTTTAAGTTGTTGTTGCTAGTTTTCCATTCCTTGTATGACTCTGCTCCTTCCTACAATATCAAGTTGATTGTTAAGTATAAGCCTACAAGACATCTTCGTTCATCTCAATCCTCCTTATTAGTTGTCCCTAAGACGCGCAGTTCCTGGGGGGGGGGGGGGGATAGAGCATTTTCTCATTCTGGTCCGTCCCTTTGGAATAAGCTGCCAGTTAGTATTCGTAATTTAACTACCCTTCATGCCTCAAAGTTGCTCTAAAAACCCATCTCTTTCTAAACAGTGCTATCTAATCATGTCAATGTAGCGTTATAATTTATGTTGTTTTAGTTTACTTTATTTTAGTTAAGAAGTTATATTTTTGTGATAGTAATACATGTATGTACAGCGCCATGAGCGTCAGAGCCTGGCGGATACCGGCGCTATATAAATATCCATATTATTATTATTATTATAATATCTCGGTCTGGACTGATTTTCAGCGCCAAATATAATATCATCAACCGCCAAGGTATTATTTCAAATCACAATTGTAAATGATATGCTAAATGTTCATAAATATATTCATATCATTCTTTATGATTTTAGAATTGTCATTTTTATGAGTCAGTAAGAACGTTTAAAGCCAAGCATTTATTATTTGGTATCTTATTCAAAAATTTTCTATTCTTTTTGGTTTCGCGCTCATTTTACAAAATAGATGCACATAGACAAACCTGCACGATGTTACTGTTAAAGATGCACTTTTGAATTGATCTATTGTCATTTTAACAGAAAAATTACATATGCATAGGATATTTGCTGTTGTGATTTAAGCTTTATGCATATATCAATTTCTTTTCGATTTAATTCATTCAATTCACCCTGTAGATGAATCTGACAAAGAAGAGGAGGAATCTAATGAAGGTGATTAGGCAAATATTGTTTTGAATTCATTAATTTAGTTAAATCAATTTATTCTTGCAATAATATCTCAGTCTGGACTAATTTTCAGCGCTTTTCATAGTACCATCAACAGCCCAAGGTATTTTTTTTCAATCACATGATTAAATGTTATGATAACTGATTATAAAAATATTCAAATCATTCTTTATGATTTCAGAATGTTAATTTTTATGAGTCATTTAGGACGTTTCAAGCCAAGCATTATCATTTAGTATTTTATTCAAGATTTGTATTCCTCTTTTGTTTCGCGCACATTTTACAAACTATAGGCACATTGACAAACCTGCAGCGTTTACCTTCAAGCAGTTCTCCACGATGTTACTGTTCATGTTGCACTTTAAATGGATTTATCGTAGTTTTAAAGAAAATTAGATATGCATAGGACATTTGATATCGAGATTTGAGCTTCATACATATATCAATTTCTTTTTAATTTCTTTTTTAATTTCTAGTTTTACAAATGAGATAATGTTATCATGTAAATACATTTAAAATTTAATATGATACAATAAGATAATATGAATGTTTATGATTTTCTAACACTTTTGTCAACAACAGAGCGACCGCGTACACAGACTCAGAGTGGCGGCACTAACTCCATTAATGCCTCGGGTGACAGTACTGTAGCAGGGAACACCATGGTTGGTGAACAGAACAAATTTTACAAAAGGTATAGAACTCACTACATGTACTTCAATTGTTTTTTATAACGTCACCTTTCATGACGAATGCTTCCATTCACGTTATGTTCATTTCAAACAGAGTGGTTTTCTAAAAGCAAAGGTTTTCTATATTGGCATTAAGGGTATTGTAGCTATATCTTATTATAAGTTTCAAACTGATGTTAAAACATTTTTTTTTAACATAATGCCAATACTTATCATAACCGTTATACAATCTTGTTTCCCCTTTATTTGTTTCCTTTTCCCAATAGGTGTATCGAGTGCGGGAAAAAGGCGTCGAAAACTAACAGTGCTTCAAAGGTACTCAAGAAGAAGGCGCCAAAGACAGCGAAAAAGCCCAAGAAGAAGGTGCCAAAAACAAACCAAAATCCTAAGAAGAAGAAGCCAACGACACCGGTAAAGCCCAAATCAACACAAAAGAAACATCCTAAAGCCATAGCACCAAAAAGACGAAAGTCTAAAACTACTGGACGGGGGCGGCCTCAGAAAAAGTCAAAGAAATAGAAAAAAAATGAATTTGGATGCCTGTCAATATCTTGTCCAATACAGCTTATCAATATTTTTAACGTACATACTTCCAGAATTTCGTTATGATAAAAACATTAACATTTTAGTCGTATCTCAAAGACATTGCATGTACAATTTTTAGTTTTTTTGTTTTTTTGTACGATACATCTCTCATGAATGTCTTTCACACGATTTAAAGGAACATAACAATAACGGTACTTATGCAATGGTAGTTTCTGTGTGATGTTTCTGTGTCTTTAGTAATCTGCAATTTATTAAAAACATGATCCCATCATCATAATCTTCAAACCAACCAAATTAAATGAATTAGGTTGGTTTGAAGATAATGAAAAGTAAATGTATTAAGGAGTCACATTTTGAAGAAGATTTTGTTGTCAAGAAGGCTTGTATAATGTTGAATTTCATTACTTGTACTTATATAAAGTTAAATTGGTTCAAGGCCAACGTGGTTAATGACCTTGACTACTTATATAAAAATCAATGATTATGAATATTGAGAAAATAGTATCAATTCTTCAAATTTCATTAAAGATTTTGTAAAATATCATGCACGCAATATGATACAAATCATATAACCTGGGCAAAGGCATAAGGAAATCAAGTTTTTTTTTAGTGGGGGATATAAAGGGAAATGAATGGGATACAAATATATAAACAACTGATAAATAGTGAGTCAATGACGTTTCAAATTGATGACCAATTTTGCAATTTGTGTAGTAATTTTCAAAGTTCTATAGTTTTCCATACTCTAAAAGATATAAATCATAACTTCCTTATTAGTTATCCAATTTTACTCAATTTTGGTGGCTCTGTTTCTCTTGTATTTCTGCATCTATTAAAAGCAAATTATGTTTGGAGTAGACTTAGACTTTAAGCATAACCTAAAACTTCACCCATTGCGTACAAACTTTATATATTATCCAGGCTAAATGAGGCCTTCTCAACTGGCGGCCCTTGCGGTCAGTTGGAGTGGTGCGCGACTGTTGCAAATATATATATAGATATATTTAGAATTAAAAACACAGCAAAATCAAGAAGCCGCAGTCAAAGTTGAGCCCAAAATGTCTGCTTAACAAACAGGAAGAAAGGGGAATTTAATGGGTTTGTTCTCAATTTTAATATACGACTCTAAACCTGAGCTCTAAATAACAATAAGCTTAAAATGTGCTACCAATGTTTACATTACCGATCTCTGGAAACATCTTGTTTTTGTTTGTTTGATTTTCACTTAATTTTGACATTTCCCGTGTTTATTGCACCAAATTATACATATAAAATCTACCTCCAGTGTAATTGTACCCCAAAATTGTACTAATTTGTCCACATCAATATGAAATTATGATTGATATATTTGTTGAAAAGAAAGGTGTTAAACATGCCACATATGGGCCTTTAGAAAGCCCTAAAATCCACCAGCTTTAGAGGGCTCCGCCCCCTGCACCCCCGATGGGGCTTCGCCCCTTGACCCCGCCCCTTGTTGGCTTTGGCTCCCTCGCAGCACAGTCAAACATACAGGTTAGCACTTCAAATACAAATTCTTTTCGTTTTGGCACTTCTAATAACTAGTTGAGAAGGCTGCTATACATGTCGTCGTTTCAACAATTGCATCTATCTAGAAGGAATTGTTTAAGTCTACGTTTAAATGAAAAAATAGTAGGAGCTGATTTAATGTTATCCTTTAATAAATTCCATATCTGTGGTCCGGTATACTATAAGTCTTTTGAGCAGTGACGGTTCTGGTCTGTGGTAGATGAAACTGATGATTGTCTAATGGGGTACTTGTGTACTTCAGTGTGTTTAAAAAATAATTGTAACAATCTTCTGGTAACTGATTTGTGTCCAAATGGTACATAAAACAACCGAGTTTATACAAATATAATTCATAAATTTGTAAGGCCTTATTATTATAAAAGAGAGTGTTAACGTGAGAACGATAACTTTTGTTGCAGATAATTCTCATTGGACTTTTTTGTTGTAGAGTGAGTATATTGAGGTTTTGTTTAGTAGAGTGGCCCCATGCGAGTATTCCATAAGTCAAAATGGATAGGACAAGAGTACAGTACAATACATAGAGGGTGGGCTGTGGGAAAAAATGTCTAATTTTATTAATGACACCGGTGTTACGTGATACCTTCTTACATAATTAAGTCGCATGGGATTTCCATGTCAGACGGTCATTAATTATAATACCAAGAAATTTGGTATTAGTAACCTGGGTGCATGTGTGTTGGAAATTGTAGATCATAGATTATCAAAATAATAATGGATACACTTATCACCTCTACAAAATCATGGCTATTTTTTGTTTAAATCTTCCTTTACCACGGCGCCAGCCATCAATCAACAAACTACCCGCATACGATCTTTCCTCGGACTTGGCCTGAAATATTGATCAATGCCTGATATAATCATCGATCAATGCCAAAGCGCGCGACTTTGAGAATATATCCGGCTTCACAAACGGGTAGACAAGGTTGGGGTTTCATTTTTTTCTGCGCTCGGATTTCATCAAAGCAATCCATTATTAGAGTACTGTAATGTGTCCTTTTGATTTGTTCTAAACATAATATTCTATGTTGGTTATAGCCAAATAAGCTTTATATTGTTCATTTTGAGAGAGGGAGAGAGAGAGAGAGAGAGAAAGAGAGAGAGAGAGAGAGAGAGGGGGGGGGGGATATGCCAAGGGGGGGGGGATAAATGTATACCTAATAACTTCTTGATCGTGGTGAAACTCCAGCTTTATAATTTGAAGCTAATATATTGACCTATATCTTGTCCAAAGATTAGTCCCTTGATCGCATATGACTCGTAGAAAACTCTTATCACTCGTTAGAAGATCTTGAAAACTCGTTGGTAGATCCGTAAAAGTCGTACACATCTCATTGCCACTCATACCGGGCTCGTGTGACTCGTATCGCGCTCGGTTTACTCGCATATCCATCGTAGGAAACTCGAAGTTGCGTCGTAGATCACTGACTCATGGAAATATCATAATATTTAGTAAATTTCAAGCGAAATCACGCGAGTTTAGGCGAGTTCATATGCAAGCTCGCCACAACTCGAGGCTCCAACTCGGATATTAAAGTGGGAAACCTGCTTAAGATAGGAGACAACCAAACCTGCAATTAATTAGTTGTACTAAATCGACCGCAACTCTTTATAAATTAAGACGTGGCCCAGGGGAAATTAACAAAAAGATCAAAAACACATTAGGAAAAAAAAAACCTTTCTTCCTCCCCACCCCAACCCCTCCCCTTCTCCAGGCGCTAATGCGCTGTGTCTTTTGAAGTAGCGACAACGAATGACAAGTTGGGATTTCAGACAATGTATATCGACCAACCTTTTTATACGCTCTGCACATTTAACAAGCGGACAAGTAAAAGTGACATAGGTAAGCATTATATTGTTGTTGTGTAACATATTTTGGATTTTCAGCACGTCTTCTATGTCACCGCGTGATCTGAATCTACGTTTACACTTTTGTCATAGGCCTATTATATCTCGGTTAATTATTGATGCTGAACCTTTTCGCCCCATTGATTAGGGACTTTTAGATGAGTGGATGAGAACGGTGTGAACGTCCATTGATCTTGCGTGTCTGTGGCAAGCCGTTTTTAACATTTATTCCTATTTCTTGATATTAAAAATTACCGTTGCTTTACAACAGAATATCATTTTTTTGATATCAAGAATTTAATTTTTGATATCTAGAAATATGAATAAATGGACACGCATGACCTGAGGACGTTCACGCCGTTCTCGTCCACTCAATCTATAAGTCCCTATTAAACGGAGCTCAACGTCGTAATATGACTGTTTTATCCACTTTGTATTTAGCACATGCCTTTCATGCAATTGACCATTAAAGATATTTGTTGCCAATTGACTGTTTTGAATACTAATACAGCTTTTACTATTGATATTGAATATACTTTATAGTTATACTGACATATGGAATATCGCTTTGTCTAAAGAATGTGTCGTGAAAGCAATTGTTGTCGGTGGTGGGCTTTATTACATTATAACACACTGTTGTGTTTTTCTTCTCGTGTATGGTCCGTTCCATTACGTAAAAATACAAAATCATTTTGTGTCTAATGTCCTATAGATTAAACACGTAATTTTATTATTTAGATGTGCTTAATAAAGCTATAGATATTCACACATTTAAACAAATGGAACCGCGCCTTTTCCAATTGAGATACCAATGTCTATTTCATTAAACTTTAAACTTGGTGAGATAAAAGCAAACCCGTTCTATTCTCATATGTCTATTTTGATATAAGAATAGTACATTGGCTGACTCCTTCTCTAAACCCTTCATTTCCGTTCTTAAAGTGCTACTAGTAAAGAGATCAGGGACCTGTTTCACTGCAAAGCCTTTTTTCAATGCCAAATGACAAAAATCGGTGACGCATTTGCTGATAATCAATCAGAAGCAAGGATTTCACTAGCTTATATTTGTAACTGATGATGAGATTTGTGAAATGGGGCCCAGATCTCCCACCAGTTTTACATATTTCGAATCCCCCATGACCCCACCCCCAGGAGCGGGCTGCTAATCGTATATATGATCATTTTTTGCAGATAGCATCAGACTTACTTAAGCTTAATAAGGGCAAGCTACCTTCTTATTCACCATCACCCACCAAATGTCCAATTGTCCAACCATATGAAATTTACAAATTGTTGTGTAAACTAAAGTTACAAAAAACAAGTACCTCCAATGATTTACCAGTTCGCATAATTCGGGAGTTTGCAATTGAACTAATATACTGAATTCATCTTTTGACTTCGGTATTTTTCCTCAGTTGTGGAAATATGCAGAGATCATACCTGTTCAAAAGTCTTATCCACCTACAATCAATGAGTTAAGACCAATTGCACTAACTTCATATTTTGCGAAGATTGCAGAGTCATATATTGCAATATGGCTGTGGGAATGATATTTCAACCAAAATTGATCCAAATCAATTTGGAAATAGATAGAACATGTCTACATGTCACTATCTGATTGGGCTGTTGCATGCCTTGTATAGTAATGCTGACAAACCTAAGTCACTGTCAACACTAATTTTGACTGACTTTTCCAAGGCAATTCGATCGGATTCACCATAATATTATCATTGCTAAATTATGTGAAATGTATGTTCGTCCTTGTGTAATTCCATTAGTAATAGATTTGCTTAGTGATCGTCAACAAACCGTCAAGTATAGAGGTCAGTTATCAGAATAAAAATACAATGGTGTAGGCGTGCCTCAAGGTACCAAACTTGGCCCAATTTTATTTTTGATAATTATTAATGATGCCTGCAGGGATATTTTGTTGTCATATTTCAAATATGTAGATGATTTAGCAATAGTTGAATGCAGAATGAATAATACCCAAACTTCTCAATTACAACACCAAATTGAATTACTTGAATCGTGGACTTCTAGTAATGATATGAAGCTGAATGCATCAAAATGTTGTACGATGTCTGTCTCATTTTCCAAACCGCCCCTACAACCCCCTTTGTTATGTATTAATAACACACCACTACCTTGTGTAAATACTGTGAAAATCTTTGGTGTTATAATTCAAAACGACCTCAAATGGAATGTTCATGTTACTGAATTGATGAAGAAAAGTAATAGAAAATTATTTATGCTACGCAGATTGAAAGCTTATAACCTACCCGAATGTGATTTGTTGACAGTGTATATAGGGTATGTAAGTACTGTGTACCTCTATTTTCTGGTATTTCATAATAAACAGATTGTTGTTATAGAAAGTATACAAAAAAGAGCCTGAAAGATAATATTAGGATCAAATTATACTTAATATGATAATGCTCTTGAGAGACTGAAATTGCCAACCCTTGCAACTCGAAGAGAAAAATCACCATAGATCTGGCTATTGCATTAGAAACAAATTTGTTGTGCAAATCATGGTTACCGCCACAGAAAAACCCATAAATACAATTTACGAAACGTCAATAAGTATCAAGGGTTTTCTTGTAAAACTAAGCGATTCCAGAACAGTGCTCTTCCCAATCTCACACGTATGTTAAACTTTCACTATGCAAATCAAAGCTCATAATTGCCTTAAGAAATGTGCAATGTTATGTTATTTTTAACAGTGGGGCAATATCAGTCATTTTTAATTCCGTATATATTTTACTACCTATGCAATTTTAAATTATGCTTGTACACATTATATTTAATTTCACTTTCCTGATCTCTTGTTGTTATTCTATACTTGCATTGTATTTTACTTGCACTGTGAAAGCATGTACGATTCAGTCTATGACTGCCATTCATGTCTTAAATAACCTTGATTGAATTGAATTGAATTGGGCAGGGGGCCAAAGAGGGGGCCCAATTCGTGAGAAAATATTTTTAGCGGCGAAACAGCCAGCCGGTGAATAAGCAGGGGGGGGGGGGTAGTGAGCAACACTAATTTGAAAGTAATACTTGATCAAACGAGAATGGGCAGCTCTGCGCTCCACCTTGAGGAGATTCAGACATTTATTTCTCATTTTAAAAATTTAATTAAATTTCGATTTGATTTTCATCCGTTAATCATTTATGAATAGGTCACCATTTTAGAGGGATTTGTACGAATATGAATCCAATCAAATATTGAAGGTGCGAATATAGTATTAAAAAAAAACTATTAAAAAAAAGTTTATTCGGTGAAAACAGAATTTTAAGTTTGATTAATGTAAACTTTTAATGGTTTGACTTTCTTATCCTTTGTCAGGTTTCCTTAAAAACTCACTAAGTGGTTTTTCTAACTTGTATGCGATTAATTGAGCCAAATTGGTAACAAAAGTAGAGGAGAGGTATAGATAATAAAAAATGTATAAGCTTTTTTATTGTTCAGTTTTATGTCAG